CGGCGCGGCTCTGTGGGTGATAGAGGGCGGCGCCCCAACCCCCTGATCAGTCCTGCTCTGTGTATGACAAGGGGCGGTGCCCCAACTTCCCTATCGGCCCAACTCTCTGAGTGACAGGGGGGAGCTCCCCAACCCCCTGATTGGCCCTGCTCTGTGCATGACAGGGGGTGGTGCCCCAACTCCCCCATTGGCCCTGCTCTGAGCCCGACCAGGGGCTGCACCTAGGGATTGGGTCTGCCCTCTGCCACCTGGGAGCGGGCCTAAGCCAGCATGTCGTTATCTCCCAAGGGGACCCAGACTGCGAGAGGGCGCAGGCTGGGCTGAGGGACATGCCCCCCCACCAGTGCACAAATTTTTGTGCACCGTGCCTCTAGTCTAATAATAATAAAAAAAGAACCTACCAAACTCACAGAGTTTGCCATCTACACCTCATTTTTTTAAAATATATATATTTTATTGATTTTTTACAGAGAGGAAGGGAGACATAGAGTCAGAAACATCGATGAGAGAGAAACATTGATCAGCCGCCTCCTGCACATCCCCCACTGGGGATGTGCCCGCAACCCAGGTTCATGCCCTTGACCGGAATAGAACCTAGGACCTTTCATTCCGCAGGCTGACGCTCTATACACTGAGCCAAACCGGTTTTGGCTTTCTACACCTCATTTTAACTTCCTCTCTCTGAACCTCTACTGTATGTGGTGTCTCTGACTTTCTCATGCATGAGGGGTTCCCATAGGTATATATGTTATTAAATTGGGTTATTGTCTCTTGTTAACTTGTCTCATGTACATTTAATTATTAGACCAGCCAAAAGAATCTTGAAGGGTAGAGGAACATTTTTTTCCTCCTCAATTGTTATTAACTTATAATTCCATCAAAAATGCTATGAGAGTGTTATTTTCCACATCCATACTTTTGCTTTTCCTGTAAATTTTGTCCAACTGAAGGCCAAAATATTTTAGAACATATTCAGGAAAATGTATCACAATTCCTATCAACTATTAGATTACCCCTCAAATTATAAAAATACTAGTAAGAGGATATTTAGGTGTTCTATATCAAAAACAAACAAAGCAAAATATAAATTCTGAGCAATAGGATGCAAATACTGTTTTAAAATATAAGCACAACTATAAACTTAAGGAAACCATATGATGTAAAATTTAGATTTAATATTTAAGAAGTTATAGAAATTCAGAAAATATTCATTGATATTCTAGAAAATGAAATACTTACATCATGCAAGTTATCAAGAAACTTCGTAAGTTGGTAGAAACGTTGTGAACTAGAGACAACACCTTTTTGCCTCAACCCAATTGCCTTGATGAGCTCTCTAATGTAGCTTGCTCTCATCTCATCAAACTGGTTTTGACTTCTTAGCCCTTCCAGAGGAACTGTAGAAAGACAATCACAAGTGTCAATTATGCTTAAAATGATGACACAAGTGGTTTATACAACAAATTTTTGGGCTGTGTGATGATTTTTTTGATATGTAGCTCTATACACAACATATTAAATAAGAAATAGTGTTACCGATACTTTTAGGACATATAAATTTCTGGTTCTCTGGAAGAATATAAGAACAAACAGGCAATATAAACATTTCAGCTTACCTATATTAGAACTGCGTCAATTGTATTTAAATTAGAATTTGCTTAAAAGAGCACCTGACAGTATTCTACAGCTTTGTCTCAAATACTTGGTTTGATTAGGTGTGCAACAGCATGTAGTCTTTTTCTTTCTTTCCTTTTAACAAATACTTGGATTTCTCTGTGAAGTCTTGTGTTCTATGGATGAAGAAGGAGTGCTGTAATAAATCTAACAGAAGAACCTTACAGGGTGATCTGATCATAAATTCCTAACTGGGCAGGTCATAGTGAGTAGTCATGTCCAAGTCTATGACTTCCTTATTGAAAGGTTTTTAAGCTAGCCCTGTCCATTGTTCTTGTGCAGCAACCTTAACACACCTTTGAAATGTCAGAATTAATCCTCTTTTTCAGACCCTCAAGAGAGCACATAATCTTAACTGTCCTGTAATCCAATCTCTGCCTTGCTTTCTCCCACCTTCAGGCAATCTTCCTTACCTTTCCTCCTTAATTCAAAAGAAACTGCAAACTGTCATTCTCTGGAGCATTTAAGATTTGCTTCCTGGCAACTGTCATTAGTTTGGCTCATATAAACTCTTGTACAATTGTCTATAGATTTGGATGTTTCTTATGTCAATATCATATAAATCTCAAGTATCTCTCATTAAGATTATTCCTGGATAATTTATCTTTCTTGTTGTCATTTTAACATTACCTCATTAAAGTTTCTAAGTCTTTCCTGTTAATATGGGAGAAAAACATTGCTATTTGAATATTATAAATATATCCCTTCACTTGATTATATTTTTATATTTTTAAATGTATATTTTAATTCTAATTTGGGGGTGATTAACTTTTGTTTTCTTGGTATACAACACTATATTCAAATAATACCTTCATTTTCCTCTTTCCAGTATGGTCATGTACCACATAATGAGGTTTCTGTAAACAACAGAGGGCGTATACAATGGTGGTCCCATAAGATTATGATAGAGCTGGGAAATTCCTATTGCCTACTTATGTTGTAATGCAATATATTATACAAGTACTTACTATTGTGTTACAATTACCTGTAGTATTTAGCACAGTAACATGCTGTACAGTTTTTTAGCCCAGGAGATATAGGGGAAGAATCTGTCACCCCAAATACGTCTCTTTGGTATAAGGATTATTTTAGGCTGGTTAATTTAAAAAACAGCAGACATGGGAGAAACTCTGAAAGCCCAGTAGAAGTTGCTCTTTGTAAAAGGTATTTACAAGTCTAAGGGACATCTCCAAAGGGTGTCTTCTGCTCTGTATCAGGAAGTGGGGGATGACTTTATCTCTAGAAACTCTTATCAATGCAGAAGACAGTGACTTAAATCTTTACCTTGTTGACTCTACTTTTCTTTTTAACCTCCAATAACTGCCTCCTTTCCACCATAAGCTTCTTTTGTCTGCAGCTGAAGATGGAATTTAAGGTGTGGCTTCAGCTATTTGGCAAATTACTAAATTTTCCTAAGTCTCTTTCATGTATTCTGGAGGT